ATAAGCTGTCTGTATTTTGTTGCTATATACGAGCAGAATGTACATATTTAATTAATATCTCCATAATACTAACTTGAAACGTGATGCTGTGTTGAGCAAAGTTGTTCCTAATATTTTAAGCTACGTGTGCTGAAATTCTGAGCTTAATCGAGTTTGCTGAACCAGTTCTATGCACGACAGAGTGAAGGAATGTTATGTTTCCATACATTTCAAGCAATATCCCCATATAAATTTTAAATCAAAAGCGCCAGCTCGTGTTACATCGTAGTAAGCCAAAATTTTCAGAGAGTGGTTTTCTCACCTGACGGCACAAATCTAGGGGTTGGCCCGTTGAAAAAAATTATAAAAAAATTTCCCCATATAAATGTGGGCCAGTCTAGTCCGCAACCGTGTATGTTGCAACAAAGCAGGAAAGCACTATATCATCATCCTTCTACAACTCTGATCAAGCTTTATTACAGGGAGCGTTTATCGTTGTATTGGTAGTAAGCGTATTGACTTTATCGTTGGTTGCTTTATGGGTTTGGATTCGCTGATAATGGGTGATCAGTAACGGCAAACAACAACAATAAAACTGTTTGAAGTTTTGTCTGTAACCAGCCTGCAAACAATTCTCGAGTAACATTTGAAATGGGCCTATGTCCAACACGTAAACAAATCGGGTTTTGATACCTTTTTTTAGCACCGCTTGTTAGCTACTAATCGCGTAGGAAAGTTCCGCCTAATCGAGAAAAATCATTGAAATTAACTCAATTTTAGAATCAGCCGATCAATGAAATTTTTCGAGTCCGCACGCTAAAACGGCCAACCACTCATTTATTTCATTTCATTTATAAACCTAGTGACGTAGAAGGGCCGATGATCAAAAATTTTCAAACCAAACCTAGGCCCTACTGCTTGAGGCAGGGCCGATGATTTGTTTTCATTTTTTTTAACGTTTCGAAAAGGCTTAGCAAAGGGCGTACCATATCTGATGACAAGCACAACGGCTTAACAAAAAGGGCCTTTCCAATGAAAGATTCACAAAAAGGTTTATTAATTTATGAAATTAAATTGTTATCGATTTTCATATATTTTTTAAAGCTTTTCGCATATTTTGAATGTTGTATACTGAGATACAGTTATTATTGTTATTGTGAACAATAAAAATAAATTTTCTAAAATATGAAATGAATAGTGGCGATTTTTGGCATTTTTTAGGAGTTCAAAGTTATCAATATTAAAAAATAAATCATTATTCAATAGATTTTCTAAAATATCCAAACACTTTTTGTATTTGTACTCAAAATTACAAAAAATATATGCCGTTAAATTTTTCCCAACAAAGACTACATTTTTAACTTCAACTTTGTCTCAGACTTCATTTCGCTTAAAAGGGACGCTTTCATGCTACGATTTAAAAAAATGCTCAGGGTGAGTTAATTCCTGTCAGTAAAGTATATGGTCATAAAAATGAGAAGCTTTTATGAATTTTAATGTTCAGTGTATTTCCTGATTGGTACATCTATAACATTTGTCTTGACTTAGTCCGGTTCAAATCTTTCTCACTTTAGCTTAATTGCCAGCCGCATGCGTCTTTGAAAAGCGTTACAGCTGGCACGCACGACAGACATCTTGAGGCATTTTATCCCATATTTTCAGCAAACGTTGATTAAAAGTTTCCACGGTTAGTCCCTTGGTATTGCTTAGTTTGCCTAGCATGTAGCCAAATGCATAGAATTCGAGAGCTTTCACTCTTTCGGCGAAATCAAATCCGGAAAATATACCTCACACCAAGCCTATGAAGCTTTTGCCTCGTGGGACGGTGCAGAGTCTTGTTGGAAGCAGTATGGTGCATTCTTGTAGTGTTTCTAGACGAAAGGAAGCAAATGGTTCCTCAAAACATTATCGATGTAACAATACCAGGTTCAATGAACACCAATGGAACCTTCACAATTTTAGGGAAACATCCCCAAACCATCACCCTGGAAACATTCTGGAACCTTTGAACAGCCAGTTTGTCACGAGAAATATCAGAAAGATATGCTGCATATACCCGATCATTTTGCTGGTTGTGGTGATCCTGTAGCAGGAACATTTTATCGTCCGAAAACAGAATTTCACAATCACCGGACTTGCTTCAGCAGTTCCCATTTTGCGTTCATGATTACCACGAGTCTTTTTTTTTTCCTTTGGTTTGTTTTTTTCCGTCGATCTTGTTTTCCGTGCTGAGCACCAATGCTACCGACGTGCCAGGAAGGCAGCTCCCACACCTGGACCCTACATATCGACCCATCAACTCATGAACCGGGGACCAACGGCTTTACTTCCCATCCGAAGGAAGGCGTGATCAGAGATGTTATGCCTCAGAACATCCCGGCGGCGCCGACTGGGATTGAACCCAGGCCTTCTGGGGTGAGAGGTAATCACGCTTACCACTACACCACCGGCGCCGTTTACCACGAGTCTGAAACGAATGAAAATTCAAAACGAACTTGCAAGCCGTGTTGACATTTGAATGCGCTCTAAAAGAAAAATACGCATACATGAATGTGATTAACCCATCCGAAACTACAAACGTTTGAAAAACACTGACAGGAATTACCCCTCACCCTAAAATCATATGCGCTATTTTGAATAAAAAAACTTGCAAGATGGTCGGCAATGGTCGATACAAATAAATAATTATTGAATGTTCCATGCAAATCTGAGAAGTCGAGTCAAACATTTTTGTTTTGACATTTGGTATGGAACTACCCATTTGGAAGTTGAGATCAAAATTTTGAAAAATTTGCTCCCAAAAAGTGGACGATGTACTTCTAAGGGGTGTTCAATGAAACATGAAATTTTTTTCAGTCATATAGCTAGTAAAAAAAATTTCAACGAATTCAGTATTTTTTATTAAAAACATAATGTTTATTCTTCAAAAAAACGTCAATGAATATTGGAGAAGGGGCCCTGGTCAGCCGTACGATGCAACTTAGCCGCGATGCTCTCACAAGAGCGCTGGACAGCACTGAAATCATTCTCATTTTTTATTGAACACCCGTTATTCGTTCTTCCTCTTTTTCTACTACCAACGCGTTCCATAAGCTTGCAAATTCAAGAGCGCCTGAATCTGACGTGCTGATAAAAATAAGTTGCTGACAACTATTTTAACTATGCTGATAAACAGTTTATGCCAGTAGGTGACTAACCAGCAATAATGTAAACCGGACATTATGGGCAGAGACGGCAACCCTCCAGACAGCGAATGGATATGGATATTCTTGGAATAGGCTCTACCTGGGAGGAAGAAGCAGATAGTACACTTGTCATGGAAATTTGTGCCATTGAAATCAAACCAAAATAGCCTGTTTTGCTTTGAGCGTATAGTGATTGTTTGAGATTGTCCAGTGTGCAGTGAGAAAATGTACTTTTCTGTTCTGTATTTTATTATGCTACTCAATATTTTCGTACCTTTAAATATTGATTTGTGTATATTCAATGAATGAATTAAAAAAAACGATGTCCCATTGAATAAAATTGCTGGAAAGGACAGTTTGACACAAATTACTTTACGCAAGATTGCAATACCGCCTTGTGTATTCTTGTTCGACTGTAAGAAAATCATCATTGGGTGCTTGGCTCCCAATGACGGTTCGCGACAGCTTGATTTTGGCTCCTTTTGACGTTTTTTTTTGGTCTGCTTCTCCCTCCCAGGGCTCTACTAGCTGAAATTCGATGTCTGTCACAATTTTGAAATTACTGGCCTCCAAACAGGTAAAAGGCATTTGATACCATGACATGTGGATATTTTGAATGGGCACACTTATTGAAAGCTGAAAATCAATTTCTGTCATCATTTTTAAATTCAAGATGGCTGACTCTAACTAATGTAAACCGGACTTTATGGACAGAGATGGCGACCTCCAGACAGTGAATAAGCATTTGAAACCATGCGATATGGATATTTTTACGAAGGGTTTGACTAGTTGAAGCTGAAAACCATTTTCTAACACTATGCGGTATTTGATACTTTTTCTTAAACCGTATTTGTTAACGTTGTTGAGAGCTGGCAAAACGCTCAAAATATCCATATTATTAGGCATCTGAATCTGAATCTTTTTTTCGGAAACCAGGATTGCAGGTATGGATTTCCAGCCTCTAAATGTCCTCGTCATTACGAAAATTTCCATATTGAATTCCTGGAAAACTTTTTGATAGACGGCAACATTCTAGATGATGCAAATTCCAATTCGTTCAAGAAGTAAACGTGCACGTTAGCGCCCCGTAAGGAGATAATTCTGAACGAATCACTCCATATATGCAATGGCCTTGTCCAAGTTTGACCTTGTACCATCACGAGAATTTTTGTAAAACTGTGCAAATCTAAACCGGACTATGGGCAGTTCCACTCCAAATCGATCTGATGCGACCTTCTCCCAATTGGCTGAAACGTTGCATAGTTATTTTTTATGGTCAATCATTCACACTTGAGCTAGCTAGCATTCGGCCATTTTTAATCTCGCGAAAAACTTCAAAATGGCATATTTGATATTTTCATTAAATCATAACTCGAAAACGTCACTTCCAATCGAAATGACGTCTGAGACAAAATTGTAACTCAAATGTGAATGAATGTCCATATCAAACAATTATGCAAAGTTTCATGTAAATCGGAGATGGTAGAGTCTGAAATTCAATTGTATTTTTATTTGGCCTATAAATGCTCTATTTGGAGAAAACCATTTGTAGTTCCAACCAACCGCACCGTTATCCGATTGATATGTAAACTCACATCTAACTACTACTCAGTGGCGAATGACCACAGGATGGTTAAAGCTCCTATAAAAAATAGTGACGTTTAACGCACGCAAACTAGTGGGTCTATCGCCGTGTAAAGTTGTTTATTATTTTCCTCGGCTACTAACCTCACTAAGAACTGAAAAGATAACTCCATTGAACCTATATGTTAAGAAGCTCCTTTACAAATACCTCCAACAATGATCTCTTTTCCATCTCGTTCAAACCTGCTCCAGAAAATGGTAAACAGTCCCAGTACATAATCAACGTTTCCCCGGAAGATGAAGTCATCATCCACCAAGGGGGTGCAACTGATCGTAACTCCGACCAGGAGCCGGATCGGGATCAATCCCCGCAGGACTTTGTCCAGCAAGCACTTCGAATGCGAGAGCACTACATGAAGGGATCCGGTGCCAAAGCTTCCACTCCGCTTCCGGCCAGCTCATTTGTCGAGTACACCACGGTCAAGTACGATCACTTTGGACCAAGCAAGTCACCACTTCCGTCAGCTGCTCCGGGTCACTATAGCAAACCTGTTCCATCGAAAGCTCATCCTCCACAGCCACAGCAGCAGCAGCCAGCACCATCTGGATACCAGGCACCGGTCAACTACAGACCAAAGCACATGAAACCCAAGCCCACCAAGATTCCGGTAAACACGGTAACCCCATTCAGTGACATTGAGCTGCCAGAAGCCGAAGCCACCAGTCCCTACTGGAAGGATAAACCCAAAGATCAACCCAAGTCTCCAAAGCATAATCCCATTAAACAACAGGACACTCAAGCTTCGACGCTCTACATTCAAAAAGTCAAGCCTATTGATCCTGTCTACACCAGCTACAATACCCATCACGAAACTGGCAGCAGTTTCAAGGAATACCAGCAATTACCACAAACTGACTCAAAAGGATCCAGTTCTGTCTTGAATGTTCAAAAAGTCAAACCACCATCCAACCACAGACCCAGCTTCCACCACGAAGACACAAATGGCTACGTTGAAAAGAAACACAAGCACAAGCACATTTCCTCCGAAGAAATCCGTTACAAACCAAAACATAAGACCCACGACCACCATCACCAAATTGAACAAGCAGCTGAATTCTACCCGGAGAAAATCCGTCACACTGTCGAACGTCAACCTACCAAACATCACCAGGCGTCCTCTGCGGATCATTTCAATAAGTACTATCTACCTCAGGCATCCGTTAGAGAAGTTAAGCTCGAACCCGAACCGTCACCATCTGTCGAACCGTACCGATATCAACCTCCGAAGAGCTACCCTCCCGAAGAAGCCAACAAGTACAAATTCCACAAGGAAATATCCACCACTGCCGAGCCCTATAAACCGTATCACCATCTAAAGTCCTTCAATGAAGAAAAGCATACTATGAAGGATGAACCCTATCGTCATCATCCATCGCCAAGACCACACCACTTCGAGTATGCCGGCCCCTCACTAAAGCCCCATCACGTTGAATACCCTAGTGACAAACCAAAATACAGCGAACAGTTCTCGAAAGAAGAAAACTACCCGAAGTCTTTTCCAAAACCGCACGTCGTTGAAATCCCAAAACCCGAACCCTACAAACCAACCCGGCCAAAGGTGGAGGATGAAGTTATTAAAATTGGACCTTCCCTTCCTCCCAAGTACTACGAGGAACCTTCTCCAGCGCCAAGCTACGCCAAGGTCACCACGTACCCGACCCAGGAATCTTCCAGCTCGCACCAAGTCTACCACCGGGTAAAGGCCCCTCAGCCAGGTGATCCATACAAATTCAAACCTAACCCAAATCCAGAAATCTCCAGTGCCAGTCACGGTTTCCAGAAACCCACCGCTCCAAACTATCCCAAATACATCCCTACCAAAATGCCGGAGCTAGAAGATCCCAAAACCAGTTTCAAACACGCGTATCCTTCGACCGAACCCATACCCAACTACATCCCTTCATCGACTCAGGAAACCTATAGCGCTTCCCCAGAGTACCCGAAGGTCTTCTCTCTTGCCCCGACCACCTACTCCCCAAAATATGCCATGTCCCCAACTCCTGATACCTTCGATTTTCCGCATATGAGCGAAGCTCCCAAGTCCTTTTCCAAATACAGCGAACCTACTCCATCAACCAAGGTCTACGGTACCATCGTCCCATCCGAGTCACCATTCAAGACCCTCAGTACCAAGATCTACATGAAACCTTCGCCAACCGAGCTTTCCTACCCCGAACACAAGGACACCTCCATGAAACCCTTCCAAAATCGCACAACCTCCGTCGAGTTTTCCCCATCTCCCACCGAGGAAGCTCAATCTGAATACTATACCAATCCGGAGCATACCACGTATTACGTGTTTGCAAACGGCACAGAAATCAAGCTCGGTAATGACCCTTCCAAAATCCCGTCGGAGTATCGAGTCACGCCAGGAGATGCTTCTTACTTCAGTTCCAACTATTCAACGAAGTTGGCCGAAGACTATGCAATGAAGTTCAACTGGGACAGTATTCCATCGTCCACGCGGGATGGTGACTTCTTCGTCAGCCCGGAGACAGCCGTCAAGGAAGGGAAAATGAAGTCAAAAAAGCCAATGAAACCACCGGTGATGTACTCCAAAAAACCGATCAAGACTGTCACCATCTATCGGAACACGCACCGTTCGGCTGACGATACGGAGATGGAGGGTGGATTTGAGCCCTCCGATCACTACTTCAAACATTCGGGAGCTGTTCCTCAGATCAGCGATAAGCGGGGTGAAGTTACGGATGATGATGAAGATTTCTTCTTCGCCAATGGAGAGGTGATTTTGCAGGACGACCCGAGCAAGGCGTCCAAGAAAAATGCAATCTTCCTTCCACCTGGTTTGAATAATCCCGGGCAGATGATGCTAAAGCTAGCTCAGCAACAACAACTGCAACAACAACAACAACTGCAGCAACAACAACTGCAACAGCAACATGTGCAACAACAACAACAACAACAACAACAACAACAACAACAGAAGCAGCAACAGCAGTTGCCTTTACAGCAGCAGCCACTACAGCAGCAGCCACTACAGCAACAGCATCAGTTGCAGGATCAGCAGGTCCCGGATATGGACATGAGTGGTGAACCTTCGAAGAAACATCAGTACTTTGTGCTGTATCACATTGAAGATAACAAGAAAAAGCCTAGACCGCAACCACCGGCAACCACTCAAGCGCCAACCCCACCACCAATCAAACAGGAGATTCACTATCACTACAGTGAGAAGGAAACTGAAGAACCGGAGGTCACCCACGAGCACTACAACTATCACCACGAAGAAACGATTGAGGATTTGGATGACGATGTCCAGCATCACTACATCAACCCCAATGCCGGCAAGTTCAACTACCGACCGAACACTGCTCATCCGTCGTACAAGTTCAAGGATAGTGCGGGATCGGGTAGCGAGACGTCGGTGAGAGTAGTTGATCCGAACTCCAAACACGGTCGACCCATGGAGATTACCAAGCAGGAATACATGCGGCATGTCCAGAATGCTGTCCTCAAGTATATGAAGCAGTTGCAAGATGAAGGACGGTTACCGGTGGTGGGACAAGACTCGGATGATACTCAGAAGACGTTTGAAGAAGTGGATATTCAGGCGCTTCTAAATGGAAACAATGCACAGCACAAGTTTCAGTTGAATCCAACTCCAACCAAGTTCACCAATCTGCCAATGAACCCAAGTCAGTATAAACCGATGAAGACGGTTCAAAGCTCTAGCTCGTACAGACCAGCGTCCAACCTGAAGATGCCAAAGAATACGTACACTGCAGGTAAGCCGTTGAAGTCTGCGATCGAAAGTCTTCAGGAACAGCTCGGAAACAGCGTGGACTTGACGGTGAAGGGAACTAAAGCTCCATATAAACCGGATCTTTCAGCGATCGATGTAGGTCAATCATATCTTCACTACGATCCACCTGCTCCGGTCAAGAGTTCTGTATCGAATTTCGGTAATCCATCCGTAGTGCAGATTCCGGCTCAGAAAACGAAGCTGCAATTTAATCAACAGACGTATCACGACATCAACTCCCTGACGAACCTGAAGGAAAGTCAGAATTTGAAAACTTCTTCTCCGTATTCGTCTTTCAAGGGAGGTTCGGCCAATGTGGGTGCCTCCATCAGCTTCGGTGGTGCCAACAAGGTATCCACGAGCCACAACGATGACGCCAAGCTTGGGCCAGAAGCCCTGGATGCACCGATACAGATCATCAACGGTATCCCGATCACAAATCCCTATAATATCGATATGAATACGCTGAGGTGAGTGTTTGTGGGTACTTGAAGGAGGGTGATAAATTTTAAGTTTTTTATTTATTTCTTCATAGGTACATGTTGGGAGGTATAGCTCAGGCTCAGGCTGAACATCAACAACAGCAGGTCAAGCCACAAGAACCGTCCATCAAGCTGAAGGGTTCCAACTGGATGTCGCTTCCGACGATGACCACTGCGGCCCAGATTTTCAACTCCCCCATGCAAACCTTCCATCATGGACCATCTGAAGCGAGCAACTACAAATATAATGCCAACTTCGACAGCAGTAACTTCAAGATCAAGGTTCCACAAAAGCATAAGGACTTCAAGTCAAAACCCGTGGGAATAGACTCGATCGGCAGTACTTCGATGAACTACGCCTCTTGGGGTGAACCTCCGCGGCAGAACCGACAGCTTGGTAACCAACTACTACAACAACAGCAGCAGCAACAACAACAGCAGCAGCACCAACACCAACATCACCACCATCATTCGCAACCACTGCAACAGCAACACCATCAGCAGCAGCACCAGCTGAGTCGACCTAACCGTGAGTTCAATCCGGAGCTGTTCCTGAATCCACAAGGTCAATTTATGAGCCCGGTAATGAAGAAGAAAAACGGACCGGTCGATCGGAAAAGCACACACAGCAAACCAACGCTAGTGACCAAGCCGAAGAAGAGCAGCTTGGACACGAATCTGCGACCACCGCCAGCGGGATAAGAGAGGCGGAAATGACGGAGGGAGGTTTTAGGGCTTCGGAAACAGTTCTGGTGGTGAGTGGAACTGAAGGGTGTGCGATATTGAGTTTTGAGATCCGTTTGTAAGTGATCTGTAAACTTGTAGATAGGACAGTTAGGATTATTTATTTAGTAGTGAGTAGTGATTCCTAAGCTTGCTTCTCGCGTACCCCTACTAGTATGAAAGCTCGCTGGTTGTTAGACTGAGCAGCGAGCTGTTTTGAGAATTGGGGTACGCAAGAAGAATGTTTGGTAATCACTGATTTAGAGATTATGTAATTATTCAATTATAAACGTAGGACAATTTTGAGCAATCTATCCCAAACATTTGGAAAATTTTTAACTCTTATTTATTGAGACTACTTTTAATTTATTGAAGATCTTTTAACTGTTGTATAAAAATAGGACATACACACGCTTTGGACGACACAAACAGAATTTTTGCGAAAATAAACAAAACTTCCCCAAGTATTAAGAAAGCGACACCTGCCGTCTTTTGAAGTTATTGCGAGGCAAAGAAACCCTTCAGTTGGTAAGTAAATTAGCTGCACCTCCAATTAAACCACGAAAGCATATCTCGACTGCACGGCTCTTTTGCTTAAATGCTAAATATATTAATTCATTGCTGTTGTTGTTTCAAACCCATTCAGCTCATAACAAAAGCCCCAGGAAACGTGCCATTATAACCGAATCCACAATATATCCGGGGGATCCATTTGAATCACAAATATGTGTGATTACATTCGGTACACGCGAGCCACGCGACTTTTCCCATTAGGAATTCAGCCATTTTTCCCGAACCTCTTTAGGCACGTGCCGGCCGCCGAGAAAGAAAGTGAAATGGTCAAGCCCGGCTGAACAGCAATTATTCTCGCGATATGAAAAAAAACAACAACTCAGCAGATGGAATGTACACCCTCGCCGCTACACACGTGGCCCATCCGTCAATCAGCCAGTTCGCATGTTCAACTGATTTCTATTTCGTTGAAAAAAAAATATATGTATACTGAAACTCAGCTCGCGAGCGGTGCGATATGATTAATATTTAAACAATGTTTTCTGATGAACATTCATTTTCTCCGCGCAGACTAGCTACCTCTTCTGATAGTTGACGCCAGAGAAAGAGGGAAAACGATGGACCTTTGTTATCCTTGGCGCGGCCGGCTTGGCAAGTGCAAATGGCCTTGAAACAATTTGCAAACGGAGGAGTAAACAGTAGAAAGAGAAATTAATTGGCTGGTACATGTTAACATGCGATTCATGCCCAGATACAAAGTCAGACAGCTAAGTTAAAATAAGAAAATGAATGGGTCTCTGAATTGGAGTGTTGTTTACTGAGCTTGGACAAGTGTCTGGACGGGCGAACATCTGTAGGTCCGGCTTTTCGAAAGCGTTCGGGGGCTGTTGAATAAATGAAGGCCTTTTGACTGAATGTTTGAGTGCTTAAATTGTATGTAGCAATGTATTTTATTTCGAACAGTTCATTAATCAGTTGGTCGGTGTTATGTCAGACCGGACAGGCGACAATTTTTGATTAAAAAAAATTAGGCTGTTGGCACAAATCGTTTGGCAACATTTTTCAAAACTGAAAAAAAAACTCGCGTAGTATTTGAAAACGGCACAAAAGCTGTAGGAACCTTTAAACGCGTACCGAAGTACTCCCACGCAAACCAACAACGTCATCGGGTAAGGAGAATGGTTTAGAATTGAAAGAGAATTGTAGAGTGAATTCCTAGACCTTTCAAACGACAATTCCTTAAGCTTAGATAACGGAGAAATTACTAAGAGAAAATATTAAAAACTCTGAGAAAGTTGCGGGATAATTCAAAGTGATTTTTGAAAAAACCCCAAAGAAAACCTTTGAAGAGATTTAACGAAATTATTAAGATAATTCAGGCATAGAGAAAATTTCAAAACTTAGTAAATCCAAATTTGATTTGATTTTTTTTTACACTCAATTCTGAGACATGTGTGATCTCAAGCTTGAAAATTTTTGAATCAATAAATTAGGAAAGGGTCGTCAATTTAATTGATGTTCTTGAGGGTGAGGTCCTTGACACTGTAAATGATTTACCATTGAGCTTGATTTTGAATTCACAGTGATTTAAGGTGTCGCTTAATAGGTTCTGGTTCGCAACTGGTCACATCCCCGTGGCACCTGGAACGTGTCAAGATGTAGCCAATGTGGTCCTGAGCAATCCATATGACTACCATTGAACTGGTTTTAGAATTCTCATGTGATTTGAGGTGTCGCATGATGGGTTTGGCAAGATTCAGGTTACTTCTAGCACATAACATATGGAGAACTTAATGCAAAATAGCTGACTTAAAAGTTGACCCCTTTTTTGTGTTGCCTCAGTAGTCTAACTGACATAGTTGGACATCGATACGTCAAAATAAAATTTTGGTGATACAGACCTTGTGTTTATTCCACTTCTCGCGTCACGCGTAGAGAGTCAAGTCGTATGTGTCACCCAATTCCCGTACTCGAATAGAGTGACAATTCTAGACAAACATTTTAAAAGGTCATGACATTGAAGCTGATTGGAGAAAAATGAATTTGAAGTTTTGCAGTATGTTTTTAAATGTCATTTTTAATTACGTAATAAAACGACCTCGGCATTTACTTTTGCTGATATGTTTGCAAAATATATGTTTGTTCGATGAGATCTCAGCAAAATCTAATTTGTTAACTGAGTCTCGGCAATTGTTTTACTGAATTTCAGCAAAATAAATTGTAGAACTACTCGGCTGTTGGAATCACGGCGAAAAAAATTAAGTGTGTATGCATAGAAAGTGTAAGGATATGAAAAATTTCCATTTTTATTTATTCGGATATATTTTAATAAACAAACTGTTGTTGTCTATTTCATTCAACTTTATTTGCTTTGACTTTTATTAGCACAAGCTGCTCAATCAATGTTTTACATTCATTCATTTTATTCTATCAAATCAACATCGCTGTCTTCCAGTGGATCAAGATCTGCCTCAAAGTGGTCCACAACGGTATTCTTTGCTCTTCTTCCCTTTTTTGCCGGAACTAAAGATTTAAGGAATGTCGCGTAATAATCTTTTTGCTTGATATATGGCATCAGTTTGCGAAGATCGTCCAATTTTGCGCTTGGCAATTCAAGTGGTTGATCTGCAATTGGTTTCAAATCCACGCTTGAAATACCGCATGTGGGATTTGACAGAATTTGGATTCTGTCAAATAGTTCATCACTAACATCTTCTTTAAACTCCACAAATCCAGGAAAATCGGTAGAATATCTAAATACCATTGTATTTCTCATGCGGAACAGATTGTCTTTAAGAGACTTTTTTGGTATTGTATACCTCTGGTTTAATGATTTCAAATTCAACATTTGGTTTTGCTCCAACTCAATTACGTTGAATGGGATTCGACGGCGAATACTGCTTATGAGGATTGCCCAATCATGAGGGATTTCAATATCAGTTGTGTTTTTCTTCTTTGCCCTTTCTATGGCTCCATGGACTGTATCGACCTCCATATGGGAGTGTCCACTTAGCATAAATTTGTGGAGAATATGTAATTTTCTTCCACGCTTCGCCATTTTCTCGATGAAGTATGAGAACAGAAAAATAATGGTCTTGTTATTATTCTGGCCAGAACACCGGTCACTGTAATAGATGACGGTTTCTACCGAAGCAGGTAGCTTACGAAGATCTTGTAAAAGACAAGACCCGATTTCTTGTGACCCTCTTTTTGCTTTGGTCTCGTCCCATAAGTAGCAATATGCAGAATTCTCACCGACATACGTAGTAAAAATAGTGAGGTTGTAGGTGTACAACTGCCTACTGTAAAACGCTTCGCCGTTAGTCAGGAATGGAGTTGGGAGCTGCTTTTGCAGGTCAAAAGATGATGTACTTATGGATGAATCAGCTTTTGCCAATTTTACATCCTTCTTTTTTTCGTCGTAGATTCTCTTGGCACTGTTTTGATGGTTATCGAGCAAAAGCTGTAGTTCATTTTTTCTTGTGGGACTCGTTTCTAACTTAATTTCAACAGTCAACCGGTCACACTTTCCACATGTATCGACTTTCGGTTTCCTAAAGCTGAGATTCTGGGTCTTAAAAATCATCCGGTAACTGTTGTAGTGTACAGGAATCAAATTTTCGGTGGCACATTTGTTTTGATACATTTCGTATATGCGGCGAATATTTAAATCACTGGAGAGATACAATTTGTTAGATTTCTCTCGAGAATAGTGACTGGAGTACGCAGGGAATGACATAATTTGTTTCTGGATAAAGTTCAGGTGATCCTGGCTAATATGTTGGCGACTACTGTTTTCTTGCCGACCATCGTCAGCAGCGATTCCCAATCCTGCAACAATTTTCCCGGCTAGAACGCGCATCTTTCTACTCCCAATGTCGTATGTCCCTTGAAACATAACCTCGCATACTTTTGTAGATCCTTTAATGCTAGGCAACAGGTACACCCGGCTATATGTGCGTCTTGAATTCACCACCTGTAGAATATAATAAGCAAATTTTAGCAGACCGGTATACGAAGTAGCTCAAATGCACTTTAGGGCACTTCACCACTATGGACAGACTGTTTACAAACATTCCAGCCACTATTCAATTGATTTAACATAACACAATCATCTGAGCCTTAACAGGCCCTTAAACATGTGCCATGTTTCATACAATCATTATCAACCATAGGACACATATGCGTATAAAATCAGTATGCGAGTGAAGCAACATAATGCTCACAATTTTAAAAAGTACACATCCATTTTCCAAAACACACACACACACTCACAACGTACCTGTGATCTAGCCGTGTGCTTAACCATGATATGATTGGCCAAAAATTGATTTTGGCTATGAAAGTTCAACCGCAGGAGGTTCCGAAGAAGTTTTTGCCGAATTTCATTCGAGTACTTCTCGAAGCACTTCAACTTGCAACTGCACGGTGGCTTCACTTCTCGTGCAGGCACTATCGTTCCGTCTTTCCTGACATATGACAGACCCTTCTCTCTACTTCTGAAATTTTGTTTTCGAATGCTCTCCTTCTTTTTTTTCAATTGTCTTTCCTTATCAAGCACATCGATGCAATGACCATCTGTTGATGGTAACGTATCCTTTGTGCTGCTTGAAGATAGATTTTCTACTGGAAATTTAAATTTAAATATTTAG